CTGTTTGGCAGTAAGTCCATTTAATTACACTATTACAACCATTTCACCGTTAGGAATTATCTTGCGGAAACATGCAATATGTCTGAGATAACCTGAAATGACTCCCTTTCGGATCGATTCAACTCATTTTCTATTATCAAAGTATCATTTTAGATGCAACAGCACCTCCAATTCGGAAGGTAAATTTATATCCGAAACTTTAATGCAGTATAAATAAAAATCAAATTTCCAGTCTAAATCCTCGGGCCTTTTTTCAAATTTGGGCGTTCCCAGAAATCTAACAACATACCGCTTTTTTAAAAAAATATATTCAGAATTCTCCTTTAGAAATTTTCGCGAAATAATTTTGATATCATTTTCATCACAATTTTTCTTCGAAATTCCATACCTACGCGCTAATTATTCTTACAGTTTTTATTTCCCCAGCCAAAAAGCCTTTTCAAGCTAGCAGCAATTAGATCCCCAAGACGAAACTATGTTCGAGAGGGTCACAATCAACGCAATAAGAGGGACCGGAGTTCATGGAAAAATGGTGGCTATTATCTATGTATTTAAAGTTAGATTATGGAGTATTGCAGAGAAAGGCATCAAAATCAGCATCGAAACATCGAACTTGAATGACAGGAATACTCTTCTTTATTGATGGGTCTGCCTTAGGCAGTGAATATTGGAGTCGTACAGGCCATGTCTGAAGACGTCGTCTCCATCGGATACTTCGACAATGAGAAATGTTCTGTCTGTTTGGAATGCAATAATGGATCGATTTATTATATCAGTAAGTAAATTTCATAAAAAAAACTTACCAATTTAAAATTTTCGGCTTGAAAAAAAATCGTCAACGAGGTGTTATACGTGAATGAGATTCTTAATATCTCCCACATACAATAAACAATAAATTACATTGTCTCCCTAAATATTTCTAATGAGATAATAATAACAATTATTATTATTACATTATATAATGTTTAAAAACAATGTATTGACATTCTGAATTAATGATAAATTTTTATTCATTTATAGAATTTCAACACAAGCTGAGCCCATTGTGTGGTAGGGTAAATAACTTGCTACTGGATATACAATTGGTTATTAAATTTCAGCATATCATTATCTACATTAATTGTTCAAGAAAAAGGATTTTAGATATTTATAAACAGAATTTGAAGTGTCATTACATATGAAAGTAATTTGTAATTATTCAACTGTGTTATGGAGGAACTGCATGATTTTATAATGGAATAACGATAATTCTTTTTTCAGAAACGGATGTCTTTCTGTGGGGAATTATAATTAGGACAGGAGGAGGAGCAGAAGAAAATTGAGTACTTTAAAAATGCCACACTTGCATGAAATATACTATTGTTCATGATCAATCTCTACCTTTCATCCTTCTGACATTACAGTACATATTACGGAGCTTATATGGTGTTTGTAACAAAAAAATTTTTACACGGTTTTCCGTGAGTCTTAGCTTGGAATAAATGCTATCTTTAATCTAAAGAAAAAAATTATAAAAAAAACTTTTTTTTTGCATGTTGCTTACAATCACGATTCAAAACCACATCCTTTTTGGGGGGGTAAAAATTTCAAATGTCAAGGCAAATCGATAAATCGCTTGATTGATACAATTATCGATTATCGATTATCAAAATAACTGTTAGGTTCAGACGCAAAGTAGAACACATGCGATACATTTCATTTCTCCCAATTTATTTTACCTAAGTAAAATCGATTTGAATATTAATCTATAATTATATCGTTAATAAGCCTCTTACATTATAGATGCACGTCGATTTTTGGGTTTGCCGTTTGATTTTAGACCATTATCATGCCTCGAAAATGTGTCGTTGAACGTGATAAAGCAATTCAGCTACTCGTGGAATATCCCAGTCATTTTAGTAGTAATGAACTACCTGCCTACAGTGATGTTATTTGGAAAGAACTGTCTAAACGAACGAAAAATTTGTGGTCCTCACATAATTGGTATGTTAGTGTAAAAAATAACAGGAGAGGCATTCTGACGGCTGCGAGGGGGAAACTAGGGTTTGGACCTCTTAATTCTCCCTTGGAAGAAAGTTTTCAAACAGAATCAAATTATGAAGAAAATGTGGATTCTATGCCAGAGTTTAGTGATGGAGAAAGCTATCCAGACGAAGTTTGTTTTGATTTAGTATTGAGTCCAGAGGAATACGCTGAAATAAAACCACTTGAAAGTAATGTAAAACGTACAACACACAGTTTGAGACCGAAGGTTTGGACAAATACGGTTAGCATTGCGATGTGGAGGCAGTGGAGACTTCCCTGTGCTTGGGTCTTCACAAGAGGTGAGGTTAATGTATCGGAAAACAGACAGCATTATATAAAAATCATTGGAGTTTGTCGAAGTAAAAAATGTGGTAATCGTTTCCGAGGCTACGTTGATCGTGAACCCTCAAGTTCCACAGGTGAACTGCTCATTCGTGTCATAACACATGATACAACACTACTTCCGCATGAAAATATTAAACGTCCATTAAATGGTAAGAGAAGACAGACAATTGGCAAATCTGCGGTTTCTGAGGGCGCAAGTAACATTCGAAAAAGATTGGCACGAGAAAATCTTAAGAGAGGAGACATTGGTGGACCAAATGAACCATCTCTTGATATATTACGCCATGCGAAAAAAGAGGCTATTGACGAGGAGCTTGGTACAAATAGGGTGAAGAATGAGGACATGATCCAGACGATTGAGCGAATGAAATACGAACAGGAATTCCTGGGCTCCATCATAGATCTGGGATACTCCCCTTTCTTTGTTTTTTATGGTACATCTGAACAGAAAGGAGTTTACAAACAATACCGCCACATGCACAAGCATGCTTCAACCATTAGTATCGATTCTACTGGCAGTATTGTCCGAAAATTACAGCGTCCACTGAAGCAACAGTCTGCTCACATCTTTTTATATACAATTATGATCCATTTCAACACTACTTCAATCTCCGTATTTCAAATGTTATCAGAATCGCAGGAAGCAGAAAAAATCGAGTTCTGGCTAAGAACTTGGCTACGTACAGTAGATTACCAAAAACCAACGGAAGTTGTTATCGATGGATCACAAGCCTTGCGAGTTGCTTGTTGCAGAGCATTGAATGATTTAAATGTTAGTCATTATCTTTCTGTGTGTTATGAAGCTGTATCAAAGAATCAACAAGTACCAAGAAATTTAATATCAACATTTATTCGACTGGATACATCTCACTTCATCCAGATTTGGTGTCGAATTGAATGTTTGAAGAATCATCCTATTCATCCCATTCGAGATTTTTACATTCGCCTCATCGCTATTATGATGGATTGTCAACATTTCGATGATTTTCTTGAAGTTTTAATATTGACTCTTATTATATCATTCCAAGAATATGATGATTCTACTCTGGAGATAAAGTCTACACACCAGACGATCAAGATCACGGCAGAAGCACGAAGAAAATTAGAAGAGATGATCAAGGCACGGCCCTTAGATTCAGATGACTTCCTACAAATACTCAAGTCCTCCAATGATGATTCACTCCCGTCAAACGATGAAGTGGAAAACGATAGTCCTCCCAATCTGGCAAATTTTCTAATAAATTTGAAGAAGGAAGTAATCCACGTCTTCTCCAACGGCACGAAGACAAATTTCTATTATTTACCTGCATTTGGGGAGAAATTATTGGATTATGCAAAACTATTTCCTGTGTGGACTTCGGTGTGTCTTCCTTATTATGCTGAACATGCCACGAGTAGTTACAACGAGCGAGGGTTTGGAGAAATAAAAGGAGAAATGTGTAAGAATCACCCATTACCATTAGCTCTCGATAAATTCCTGAGAATTCATGTTCGTCATCTTATCGGAGGCAGTAAGAATTTTTCGGGAGAATTATTGGACTGTCGTGCTCAGAGAAAGAGAGTGCCTGAACCCAAGATGAAGACCAGCGTAACAACCTCTTGTACTCAACAGAGTAGTGAGGATGCAGATGCACGAGCTGAGGAGAATTGGCGTAATAAAGCTGCCACTTATGTACGATTCAAATGCCCTGATTTGGACGAGACAGAGTATACAGTCCACGAACTTCACTCCTCCAGAGAGCAATGTTCGGTGGGTTCATAGCATTCCCTCATTGAAATCGAAAATATGAACACCTCGCTCTCAGACACTCGACCTGATTCGGAGAGGATAGAGTACGTAGTCAATGAAGCTGACTCTTCGACAGAAAATGATTTGGATAAATTAGGACAACTTGAAGAAAACAGTATGAATGTTTCGAATGAGACGAATGTTGAAGATCATTCTCAATTGTCCAACCACCCTCAAAATTCGTCGAATATACCAACATACTCCATCTCATCATCCACATGTTCCATAAACAAAAATCCTACTGGATTTTTCGTGCCTGAAACACCATCTCCTATTCTCATAAACTCAAATGATCAAGGACAGAATGGAGATCCAGTTTGTGCACGCGTAAAAAAACCTTCCAAGAGAAAATTTTTTATGGCATGTCCAGAAGGAATCTTAAATGTGGAAAACTTCGAGACTAATGAGAAGTTACTCGTAAGAGGTCGATCAAAACGTCGAAATTATTTACTGAAGAATGCAGTACATTGTAGAACGTATAAAATCGATGGCCAAACGTATTTCATCAGAAGAACGTGCGCCTTTGATACTCTTGCTTCAATTCTTTTAATAGCAGCTTTAGACTACAAAAATGTTGAGACTTATTTAAGTTCTATGGAGGATAATACTCTGTTCTCTTTTTTTATTAAACTTTAAACATACAGGAGTAACAACAGAATTGTATAAAGAGCGTTTTCTCCTATTAAAACCCTTCTATGAGAACACAAAGTCGCTAACAGTCGCAGGAAACCACACCTTTATGACTTCGTATGATGCTTTTGACAATCCTACGGATTTATGGGCGCGAATAGTTGACAAAAATCCTCTGTGTTATAGTACGTTTTCCCAGTCGGAATGTGAACTATGTTCTGGCGATGAAGAAACTCGAGACCTTATCCAGGTGAATCATTCGATTATCCTCCAACAAGGATATCGTGCTCTTCAGAAGGCCCTAGATTTTTATCCCATTATTTACAATAAAAAGTGCCATTGTGGATGGGTTTCCACGGAAACTTCAGTAGGTAATCAGCTTATCTATGTGGAACTTGGATCAAGAGTTCGATTTGCTGCACCTCCAAAAAAAACAAAATTAGAAACTATTCCAACTGAGTTAACACTGGATTCCAAATTTAGGTGAGTTTGTCTGTTTTGATAGTACTTATTTTATTTAGTTGTGGAATAAAATTTTTGATTGAATACTGCTTGGAAAATTACTTTTCGAATGTCTCTGATACCTACAAATATTAATATTTTCAAAGAAGATTTTCCTTGAAATTTCAATTTCTATGCAAATTTTACTATTTCCTTCAAAAATTTATTATTTGTCCGATTGCTATTTATTCAGGCTATGTGGTATAATTTCGGAGGAAGCAGAGCATTTTACTGCCTTTGGTCGAAGAGGATCAGGACACTGGGAAGTATATGATGATGTACAGCCATCCGTACGACGTTGTAAGCCTGAAACTGAAGAAATTAAGCCAATTGGCGCTATTTATGTCAGGACGCCAAGGGAAACTAGATGAAACTGCATAAAAGAGTTTCTTGCTTTTGTGAAAACGTATATAGCTGGATTATATACAATCGTTGCTTCTGGAAGGGTATATTTTTATATTGTTTAAAATTTTATATAATTTTCATTTGAATAAAAAAGCAAAACAAAAATATAATTTTTTTGTTTTTTATTCCCAAAAATGCCAAGAAAAATGAGAGTAGGTGTATGCAATAAAAAATAATGGACATAAATACATATGAAAAATTGTGAATGAGGTTTTTGAGATTTACAAAAAACTATGATAATCATTAAAAAATAGTTTGAAGCGTCCACTTTGCCTCATCTTTCCCTATGGAAATGACTATTACCCAAAATGGTCTCCATGAAGGATAGGGAGAACAAGAAATGGAGTTACCACTAAACAGGTGTCAACTCATCCAAGTAGTTTCTCAAAATATTAACCATTATTATATTTCAAGTTGAAAAACATAGTCATTTTTTAAATTTAAAATCATTTTCGCTCCGCACACCGTCGCCATTACAAAAATCACGTGACGTGGCGTTTACCCTTGAACCCAGTGTCATAATTTTTAATAATATATTAGAAAATTGTTACTAGCCAACAATCAGATTAATAAATTATTGAACTACAAACGATTCTCTATCGATATACAGTTAAAAAATTAAAAAATGTCAATTTTTACTAATCTGTCGGCCAAACTCATGTTGGATTTTTAATTGTTTATTTAAAAATAATAGAGAGACTAACGAAACATTTTAGGATCAGTACAAACGGGTACAAACCAAATACAAACGACGGAATTAGTTTATTTCGTGAAATGCAATCACCTGTCGGCTAAATACATACGAATGAGTTAGGGTTGGAAATTCCTCCATGTTAACCCAGACAAACATGCATGGAGTTAGTTGGTATATTTATATGCGAAAAATACTCAATAATTGGGACCCTCTATCAGTTTACTAGCTCACATTGGTTTTGACTCATTGATGGCACAAGGTCACTGCCAGCATCGTCTCTTTCACCAACTGGCACTAGGTATTGTTCGCCTTTGGGAACCTGAGTAACTAGGGGAACGACTTCGATATTATTTCCACAATGTTGCATCAGCTCCCTCTGCTCCACATGTTTATCAATCAGGGGGTCCAACTGATTAAGTAAAAATTCCGCTGAATCGCTGGGACTTTCAGGTTTGTCGAAAAACATCTGGATTGTTCTTAAATTGGAACACAAATCTGAGACGGAACGCCGACGGAAACCCGAACAGATTGTCCAATATTTGAGGCTTGTCTTCTTTACTGAAGTAGTTTGCTTCCCAAGTGCAATAGATAATTTCGAGAATATTGGCTGGGGCTGCTGATTGCTTGGTCATTTTGGGAGAGTACACTTGCTCCTCCAATTCCTCGATCCATCGGAGGGAATGAATGGAATGGAGGCAATTACATCTTTTTACCCATTTCGGGACTTGGAAATATATACGCCATTAGCGTTCTCCAGTTCACGCACTTGTACGTGGAAGCTGTTTCAGTTATATATTAGTTTTCAGACGTGTATCACAAAACTTTCGTATCTATAAGTGTTGATGGATGTCGTCTCCTCTGAAACTTCCCAAGTTGTTCATATCTTCCCTAGTTGGGTTTGGGTTGTTCACGACCGCCACACAATCGAGCACAAAACGCTTTTCGGCCAGTAGGTTCGAAAGTAACTTGTTTCCCCTATGGACAATTAAGCTGGTTCTGTCACGGCCAGTGAAAGCTTGGCTGATGAGTATTATGTCTTTTAGGTGCTGATTGCTCCTTGTGGAGAATATTTCAGTGGCTCCTTGCTTCTTTTCCGCTTCGATGAAATATGTTTCTGGATTCAGGGGAGCCAGGGCAATCAGCAGCACTATGCAGAGATGCACATTCTGACGAACCACTGCTATGCTGTTGTGGTTATGGAACCACTCAACGGCAATCACTGCCATTAATCGATGGGCATCTTCCAATTTCTGTTCCACAGCTATTCGCTAACTTAAAAAGTTACATTTCAGAAACTGCATGAGTCCATCCTTGGCTTCATCATTTTATAAAAGTTTAGATTGACTCATCGTGATGATCATATCCACATCGACTTTGAGCTGACTCCTTGTGCTAGTCCTCGAACGCCGCTTTCCTCATAGCCATCAAAGATGACTATCGTATTGGAGCCGTATTTGTATTTGGTATCTGTTTCGAACGGGATCTGATTCTGGATATATTTTAGAGAAATGAACGAAATGGAAGAGGATTAATTTTCGGGAGGATGTTGAGATGGTCAAGGTAATTTTCACTCGTGCGACGTTAGTTAAATATAGTGAATCTATGTAACGACTACTGTCGTGCATCACTGACATCATCGAAATAAATATATAGAAAGTAATTAAGTGCTGAACAAAACTGAATGAGCAGGTCAACTTAAGTAAGAGCAGAGCAAAAACATAAAAAAAAACAGAGACAATGTGAACTTCCGTATGCAAATGACATCGATTATTGGGCCATAAGGTGGCAGATGCTTTTAATTGAGGGTCACATACCCCAAATGAGGGACATTACAGCGGGCCGATGAGTATAGTCCCATACGTGGCGCCTTCGGTGTCAGGCGTGAAAGGCCACAAATCATCCGGATGAGTCAGTCAAGATGCGTAAGACAATTGAGGTTGAGAGAGTGACAAGTCAGAGTTTCGTTGGGTGCGTGTGCGTACATATGTATGTGTGCACGTGGAAAACCTTCGTTCGAAAACCGAACATTCTCCCGAGCCGTCAGCGACTGCTGCCGTTAATAATCTGGTCATGAACAAAAAAAAAATTAAACATGCTCAGAGTTAGATAAACTAACATACTCAAAGGTAGATAAACTGAAGACTTCTGTACTGGACATCATTCTTCAAAATAATGCATGAAATTCACATCTAGCGAGTAAGTTGATTCCGAGCTAAATTGTCGAGATAACCAGGAGAGTCAGAAGTCTGTTAAGTGAGGAACCCGCAGGTAAGATAAATGCTGATATCTGCAGAGATGACCAAGAGGTCCAGAAACCCGTTGAGGCAGTCTAGAACCAAAAGTCTGTTGAGACGATCAAGAGTGCCAGGGGTCTGCTGAGATAATCAAAAAACGTTCCATGGAGATGATCAAGAGTTCCAGAAACTCGTTTAGGAGGTCCAGTGCTACAAGCGTGATATGACGATCGGGAGATATAAAAACCTGTAGCGATGACCAAGTAAGCCGGAAGTTTGTTGAAGCCAAAAACATGTAGCGACGATCTAGAGATGATCTGCAGAAAACCTCAATCGACGAAGCAATACGTGGATGTGCCTATCGAGGAACTAGCAGGCTCCGACTGAAAAGCTTTAGAGATCCTCTACCCTCCTGATCTCTTCATATCATGTGATAAGGTCATCCCGTCCGCATCAAGAACTAGTACTCGCCTAGGAGAAAATCGATGATCTAACAATAGAGACAAGAGATGATAAGGTGATGGTCGAGCTGAAAAGATAGAAATCCTGTCGGTTAACACCTAAGTAGCTTTCCAAACTTGAGTTGAGCTTCTGGATACTGCTCGTGGCTGTCCTCTAGAGCTTTTCACTTGACTGATTCAGTGAGGCTTCGAAGTGAGCTTCAGACCTGGATGTCGAGCGATTCTACGACTCCAGGCATCTTAGAAGTAACGATGGGTGATTCCGGACTCTCCTCCTTGGAAGTCTCGACGAGTTGAGTACTCGGTCCGATTTTACTACCTGAGTATGTATGAATTGTAACTGAAACAGGGAAAGAAGCAGCATTGGCCAGAGAAGAGCTGGGAATTGTCGTATCTGAGGCAGCGAATTGAAGACTCCTGGTTACCGGAGTGACCAGAGCAGTTCTTAAATGAGTTGAACAATATCTCGTCTCATAGAGGACGATGGAATGATGAGCTCTGCAGCAGAATTGAGAGGTGATTCTTGTCCGACAGAATACCTGCCTCTCCTTCCCCAGGCAGTTCCAACAGGGAAAGAGACGGGTTATGGCTACCTCCTGTTCTTGAGCTGAGCGGGCAACAAACCTCTTGCAATGAGTTCTATAATGAGCACAGTCACGTTATGAGTAAGGATACTGAACAGTTCTTGTGGATTGTAGATTGGATGACCTAGAGAGACAGTTAGTTGCTGAATGAACAGCAGGATCAGCTGATGAGACAGGTTCAAAATTTCACCAGAATTTCGGGAGAAAATGCGATTGGAAATTATTCACGTTTAACGAGATCTAGCAATGATTGATCTAGGAAAGTAATGGATTTCAATCCCAGTTGATACCGATTGAATCGATTGTAATCGACTACTCAAACATTGACCTTTGATTCTACATCTCCTTAGAATCCGCGTTCAGTTTGGCATTTCCCCTTGATGAGTGTCGGCGAATTTTGAAGTTTTGTACCGTGTTCCCCGAAAGGATAAATACCAAAACATACAGTGGTAGGCCTACCTTTATTTTTCAACATGATTATATCTGAGTTTATCAGACTAAAAGGATTACTGGTTGAGATAATAAGACGAGGTCACTACTGAAGTTACCAAATTATTCTATATACAGGGTGTCCGAGATAAAATTGTACACCCAAATAACTATTGAATGTGGGTAGTAATCGAAAAATCTTTCAAATAGAAGTTGTAGGGCTCCAAGTAGGAAAAATGATGAGATATGTTTTGAGCATTTAAGTCTTCATGTTTTTATGCTACAAGCATAAGTTCATTTTTTTCATATGGAATCAAAAATTTTCTTGTAACAAAAGTTGTTGTACTCGATGAGATGAATCCAATGATGTCACACATAATGTGTTTTTTATGCTTTCTGAGCTCAAAAATACTAAAAATGGAACTTGTCAACTATATACCGAATTCAGAGATGATAAACAGAAAAATAAAGGAGAAACAAAAAGGCGCCAATGGATTGTTCTACTAGAAAGACGTTACAACAAGTGCTCAATGTTCCCACCATTCACTTCAAGACACAACTCAAGTCGATGTCGGAAACTCTGCACAACATTTCGAAGCGCTTGTTGAGGAATGTTGGCAATAGCGCCTCTGATACGTGTTTTCATGTCTTCTGCAGTCGTTGGTCGATTTTTGTAGACTACATCTTTAATGTAGCCCCATAAATAAAAATCAAGTGGAGTTAGATCGGGTGATCGCGGAGGCCAAAGAACAGGACCACCTCTGCCGATCCAACGACGAGGAAACAGAACATTGAGATAATTCCTTACACAAAGTGCAAAATGCGGTGGCGCACCGTCTTGTTGGAACCACCTTCTTAGTCTTGGGTCAAAGTGTACATGTTCCAATAAAACTGGGAGGTCAACTTGTAAAAACTGTAAATAGCGTTGACCGGTGACCGTTCCGTTGAAAAAATACGGCCCAATCACTTAACCATCAACAATGCCACACCACACATTTACACTCCACTGATGCTGGTGGTCAATGTGCTGAGTCCAGTGAGGATTTTCCATAGACCAATAATGGGAATTATGACGGTTTAATGCGCCAGTACTTTTATACGTCGCTTCATCACTGAAAAGGACATTTTGGAAAAACTCGGGACTTTCGTTCAAGATCCCTATGGCCCAGTGTCAAAAAGCAACACGATCCTGTCTATCTTGTGCAGACAGTGCTTGTGTCAATCTGATATGATATGGATGGTAACGGTTCGATTTCAAAATATCGTTAGCTGTGCTTCGTGGAATACCTGAATCTCTCTCAATTTCTCTTAAAGAGATGTGAGGGTTCTTGTGAACCATGGCCAAAACGGTAAGCGTACGAGGATTGTCAGGATTCATCCGTTGTTGTCGTTGTCGTCATTGTAGAACTCTTCCTCTTCGACAATTTCTCTCGATAATCCGAATGCATGAAACTGAGGGATCACGTAATCGGTTTCGGTACCGTTGTCGATACAATCGAGCGGCCGCGCGATTTGGACCTCGGCATTCGCCCAAAACCAGTAGAATATCCAGAACGTCATTTGGGGACTAAACCATGATACGCGAAATCACCAAAAAATAAACTGTACTCAATAATGACCCGATTCGTACTAACTAAGAAACAATAAACACTAAGGTACACCAGATAGCTCTGGTATTTACACTTTGGTGTTTACCGGTTCTTATTTAAAGGCCACTTTCTGTTTATCGTGTCTGAATTTGGAATATCCGTGACAAGTTCCATTTTTAGTATTTTTGAGCTCAGAAAGCATAAAAAACACATTATGTTGACATCATTAGATTCATCTCATCGAGTACAACAACTTTTGTTACAAGAAAATTTTTGATCCCATATGAAAAAAATGAACTTATGCTTGTAGCATAAAAACATGAAGACTTAAATGCTCAAAACATATCTCATTATTTTTCCCACTTGGAGCCCTACAACTTCTATTTGAAAGATTTTTCGATTACTACCCACATTCAATATCAATATCATTCAATATCTCGGACACCCTGTATTTCATCTAGTCAGTGGTAGTCAAAGTATAGATAGAATCCTCGTGTCCATTTCGCCCTTGAAATCAGCAACCTCACGCATTGAGAGTCGTGAGGAAAACACAACTGTGTCGATTTCCGCACAAAGACATATTTTCCACTGGTCGCAATTAAAATAGTATAATTCCAACACGCCCCGTTACATTTTTATTGTTTTTCTTCTTTTTCCTTCAAATCTGTTTCATTTTATTTTCGTCATTATTCTACAGTTATTAATCAGAAGACGCGGTAGAGTCTTCAGACACAATGAATTACCGCGCTCTTCTGTGCACGCAAATTCATAACTCATTAATAATACTGCTCTACTCAGAGGTTTGGTTTTTCATGTATTAGTCTATCATACTTGGAAAAAAAGTATGAATTTACACATGTTTCTAGTAAAAAAAAAAATAGGCGGCGAAAAAAATACTTTTGCGAAAGTTTTAGAGTGGAAATTATAATGGTGTAAAGGAGTCCATTGATATGCGTAAGGTTGTGTGAATCACACAGACTATGGACGCGGCGCCTGTTATTCATATAGCACGGTGGATTTGGATACGAATATCTCGAAAACTATTGGAAAATGAACGGAACACTCCCATTGTACCATTCAGAATTCCATAACGAATTATATGATCTTTGAATGATCTCTATAAGTTGGTTAGTGCTTTAGAAATTGATACTAGATTGTCGAAGTGCGCAGCGTAATCGTACAAATGTGCAGTGCATCTCTGTCTTAGGGAAGAGTTCATGCATGATGCGTTTGTTCCTGTGAGAGCGACAGAGATGGATCTGGACTGTGACAAAAACGCAGTGAGTTGGCAGGGTACCTCGAAATTAGAACTTTCAATTTGTAACTTCCCGTCAGAAAGTTATTGCCTCCATCAGAAAATAAAAAATCGCAACTCATCAAATTTCAGATGACTCTACTTTGAATTTGCATAATATTAACAAAGGGACGAAACAATCCACATAAACAACAACCTCCTTTTTGTAAAACAAGCTGTGACAAGTACGTTTCTTCAAACTAAATGTTTTATCTTTCAAAAAAGGAATAACCCTAAAGAGAATACTACAAGTCCTTATGTTGGTAATGAACTAAGTGATGACGTGCTGAATCTTGAATTCGGAAGGTTTAAAGACAGAAATCGACGAGTCCAACATCAAAAGTTGAATGAAAACGGAACACGATCTGGACCAACAGAAAAATTCAACATTTTAAGAAAAAAACCGTACTTTGTGTATTTTTGTGGAAGACCTGGAGCTGTGAAGTTCATTGAGGAGGGTTGTTTGTATATTATAAATTTAAGGACTTCTAATATTCTCTATATTTCATTGCTTTTTTAAACACAATAGACTGGGTTTAAATGTACATACTTGTCGTCGATTATTTGACGAAAACAGTAGTTTGGGTTTTGCAGATTTTAAGATTAATTATAAGTATCATATACTTTCCGTAGGGAAAGGGATACAATGATTAGGCACACCTTCGCACGGCGAAAAAATAGCAAGGTTATGCCTTGAAGAGATGAATTAATATAATACATTTTCCTGATGATTCGTACAAGGTCAGGTGAAAAAAATAAACATTTGTTTCAGTTTTCAAAAATCAATTTGGGGGAAGGAGCACTTTTTAACCAGTAATAATTTACTGAGTACATTAATCATTTGATCTATACATTCTGCAATTTTTATAACATTCCTGCCACTTACAGCGATAAATCCAAAATTCATATTCATCGATGAGAGTCAAAAGTTCGTGGTTCATAAACTGTTCATAGTCAAGTGTGGCCAATCTCAATTGTTTCATCCAATTTACGACAATACTTTCAAGACGTTGTATAAAATCCCGTTCCTCACAACTGTGGTTGCTGGTCACATCAATTCCTTCTCGGGGTAAGTATAGCATTGTCAAACTGTACATTTTGAACCTCAAATCATTAATATTAAATAAATATTCGTGTAATGCTGAACAGAAACCATGTTTCACACCTGAAAATCATTACAAGTATAGATAGGATTAAGGAAAATGATCGCACACGTCAAAATTTATATATGGTGGGAACATTTTGAATAATTAAAAATTATCAGATCGGGAAGTATCATCACATTCTATTTGTGTGCACATGGCTGAACTTCGAGGAAGAACAATCAACACTACCAAGCTCAAAACTGCTGTATTATTTCAAATCTAGCAAGACCAGTCATAAGATCAATTGAACATAATTACTGAATATCGATTAATTAATA